AAGAATAAGACAAAGATGGAGAAACAAGGATGACTGCTGGTGGGCATGGGGCTTTTTGGGGTGTGATGAAAACATTCTAAAATTGATTATGGTGATGGTTGCACAATTATGTGAACATATTAAAAATTATGGAAATGGGGCCAGGCACAGTGGCTCACGCCTGTAATCCCAGCACTTTGGGAGGCCGAAGCGGGCGGATCATGACGTCAGGAAATCGAGACCTTCCTGGCTAACATGGTGAAACCCTGCCTCTACTAAAAAATAAAAATAAAAAAATTAGCCGGGTGTTGTGGCGGGTGCCTGTAGTCCCAGCTACTTGGGAGGCTGAGGTAGGAGAATGGCGTAAACCCGGGAGGCAGAGTTTGCAGTGAACCAAGATGGCGCCACTGCACTCCAGCCTGGGCCACAGAGCAAGACTCTGTTTCAAAAGAAAAAAAAAAAAAAGCAATTAGAATGAGACTTTTGTTTTTATTTTCTGTTCTCTGTGACTTAGTAAACTTCTTAGAGAAAGAACCAAAAAAAGATTATTGAAATGGGCCGGGGGTGGTGGCTCACGCCTGTAATTCCAGCACTTTGGGAGGCCAAGGTGGGCAGATTACCTGAGGTCAGGAGTTCAAGACTAACCTGGCTAACACAGTGAAACCCCGTCTCTACTAAAAATGCAAAAATTAGCCACACTTGGTGGCACATGCCTGTAATCCCAGCTACTTGGGAGGCTGAGGCAGGAGAATTGCTTGAGCCTAGGAGACAGAGGTTGCAGTGAGCCGAGATAGTGCCACTGAACTCCAGCTTGGCCGACAGAGTGAGATTCTGTCTCAAAAAAAAAAAAAATTATTGAAATGTACACATTCAGTAAGTGAATTTTATTTCAATAACACTGTTAAATAAAATTACAAGAATATAGAAACTCTCGAATACTACTCATCCAGAATCTCCAGCTGTTAATATTCTACCACATTGGCCTGGTCTCTCTCTTGCCCCCAGTTGCTTTTTCTCTCGGAGCCCTTGGAGAGGGGGATGCCAATATCAGTACTCTAAATATCCTCCACATACTGTGTATTTCCTAAAATCAACAAGGACACTAGCCTGCACAGACAGAGAACCACCACCAAAATCAGGTTAATACTGTTCCAAATCCATTTATCAACATATGCACCAACAAGTTCAAGACCCTTTTAAAAGCAATGATACCAGCCATTTACTCCATCCCCAAAGGACTGAGGGGCCTGCGAATTTAACCATGTCAATGCAGTCTTTTTGACGTTATTAACTGAAGAAAATAGATGTTCTTTAAAATATTTATTTATTTATTTATTTTTATGTTTTGAGACGGAATCTCGCTCTGTCACCCAGGCTGGAGTGTGGTGGCATAATCTTGGTTCACTGCAACCTCCGCCTCCTGGGTTCAAGAGGTTCTCCTGCCTCAGCCTCCTGAGTAGCTGGGATTACAGGCGCGCCACGACACCCTGCTAATTTTTGTATTTTTAGTAGAGACGGGGTTTCGCCATGTTGGCCAGGCTGGTCTCCAACTCCTGACAAGGTAGCATGCACCTGTAATCCCAGCTACTTGGGATGCTGAGGCAGGAGAATCGCTTGAACCCAAGAGGTGGTGGTTGAAGTGAGTCAAGATCGTGTCACTGCACTCCAGCCTGGGAGACAGAGCACAACTCTGTCAAAAAAAAAAAAAAAAAAATTCCTCAAGCTCCCCTTGAGCTTACATTCTAGTGAACTATAAACAGGAACATTTTTTTTTTTTTCCTGTGGAAAAAGAAAAGTAGAGCAAGTAGGGGCCTAGACAGAGGAGGGGAGGATTGTGATTTTAAATGGGTTGGCCACTGCAGGTCTATTAACTTGGTGACATTTGAGGGAGTAGCAGTATTAGGGAAGGGGCTTCAGGGGAGTGGCCAGCAGCTAGGGATAGAGCGGGGGAGGACAGGAGGCCTTGTCTGTCTTTTCCTCCATCTGTAAGTTTCAGGGGTGAGTCGGGGAGTGTCGAGGGTGCTGTGCTCTCCGGCCTGAGCCTCAGGAAGGAAGGGCAGTAGTCAGGGAGGCCAGGGAAGGGCAGTGGAGTAGGTTTTGTGGGGAATTTCAGGGCTCTATTTTAGAGATGATTTGCTGGAGACACACAGATGAGGACATCAAATACTGCCCTGGATCTAGGGGCCTGAGTCCAGAAGAGAGGTCTGTATGGACACATCCATCAGTGGGAGCACCAGGACACAGACAGAGGCTAATGTAAGACAGGATGGGTGCTGAGCTTCCACACCCACATTATTAGAAAATAACAGCACAGGCATGAGGTGGAGGCAGGACACAAGACTATCCAGAAGGAGAAAGAAAGGTGAAAAGCTGTTGGTGCAAGGAATCTCCTGGTGGTGCCAATGGCTTGGGCATAGGCTGTGGCCCAGGACGGCTTGTGGGGCACAGGCTACAAGAGGTGCCGGGACAACTTGCAGCTACAGGGAGAAGAGACTTAGTGCTGTGGGCCTGGCTTGGGGCTGGGGGAACAGCCTTTATCTCCTGCCCCCAGGATCTCCCGGCCCCTCTTGCCCAGGCCCCTGCAGCCCACTGCCCTGACTTCTGAGGGCCGAAGGCGCCCCTGCTTGGGAAGAGGGGACTCAGGGGAGTCCACCTGACCCAGTTCTAACCCAGGCTGATTTACTGTTGCTAACATCCTAGCACACGCATCCCTCTGCCCCACGCACCCAACCCCAAGGCCTGGTACACTGCAGGCCCCAAGGTCCTGTGAGTCCCTTCGATGCCCTCCTCACTGGCACCCCCGCCCGCCCGACTCTGCCTGGAGACTCCTTCCAGGGAAGAGTTTTCTTTTTCTTTTTTTTTTTTTTTTTGAGACGGAGTCTGGCTCTGTCGCCCAGGCTGGAGTGCAGTGGCCAGATCTCAGCTCACTGCAAGCTCCGCCTCCCGGGTTTACGCCATTCTCCTGCCTCAGCCTCCGGAGTAGCTGGGACTACAGGCACCCGCCACCTCGCCCGGCTAGTTTTTTGTATTTTTTAGTAGAGACGGGGTTTCACCGTGTTAGCCAGGATGGTCTCGATCTCCTGACCTCGTGATCCGCCCGTCTTGGCCTCCCAAAGTGCTGGGATTACAAGCTTGAGCCACCGCGCCCGGCCAGGGAAGAGTTTTCAAAACAAAGGGTGTTAGTCTCCTATGGGATCCCCTCACCTCTGCAGCATGGGGTCTGAAAGCTGCCCCCATGGTGTGTAGTGCTAAACTTCCAACTTACTCCAGGCCAGCCGTGACAGCCCCCAGGGCAGGAAGGGCACCCACAGTGAGCCTCAAACAGCTAATTTTGCAACTATAAGCCCATATAATTGTCTTGAAAAGTAATTCGTTTCAAAAAGCTAAAAAAACGAATACTCCTGAGTCTCCTTCTAGTAATTCCCCTTCTAGAGGTCTATCATGAGGAAAAGATCCAAGCACTGATATTCTTCATGGAGTTGTTTATAATAGAAAAAAAACTAGAGCTTGTTCACAAAGGGGAGCCCTGCCGGCTGAAGATGTAACCCACTGATTCGCATGGGAGCTGCATCGCACCCGTCAGCGGGGATGGGGGCACGCTTGCTGACGCAGCAAGTGAAAAGAATCAGTGCGTGAAGATGTATGTTCTCTCTTTCTATTCCTTTTTTTTTTTTCTTTTTTTTTTAAGCAGAACCTCACTCTGTCACCCAGCCTGGAGTGCAGTGGTGCAACCTCATCGCAACCAGGAGCCACCATGTGCAGCCCCATGGCAAGCCACCACGCCCAGCCTTTTTTCCCCTGTTTTAAAAAATCCTCTATTTAAAAAAGATGTGCTTGGGTCGGGCGTGGTTGTTCACACTTATAATCCCAGCACTTTCGGAGGCCGAGACAGGCAGATCACCTGAGGTCAAGAATTCGAGACCAGCCTGGCCAACATGGTGAAACTCTATCTCTACTAAAAATACAAAAATTAGCCAGGCATGGTGGTGCATGCCTGTAATCCCAGATACTTGGGAACAGAAGCAGGAGAATCACTTGAACCCAGGAGGCAGAGGTTGCAGTGAGTCAAAATTACGCCACTGCACTCAAGTCTGGAAGACAGAGCAAGACTCCATGTCAAAAACAAATAAAAAAAATTTTTATATCTACCTATAATTTATATAAATTTAAAATACATGCATAAAATCACACCCTTTGCAAGCACACGTACTAAATAAAAGGAATATATTCAGCACATCGAAATGGCCGTCTAATGGAGGAGGGAGTAGTTAATAAACAGAGAGGATAAAAAGAAATAAATCAATAGAGCTGGAGGAGGGTCTCCTCCAGGCTGCAATGAGAACGTAGTGAGCAGAACTGTAGGCGCATATGACCTCACCTTCTGTGAAGAGTCCGGTCTCCCAAGCCACTTTCCTGCCTAGGTGCCCGGCCCAGAGTGTCCCCCACAAGGCTACTAGGGGAGAACCCCAGATCAAGCCTCATTCAGGTGAGGGAGCTGCACAGCAGAGGTTGGAGAGGTCTGTCCCTTCCCACTCTGTGACACTGGGTCCCACTTTCTCTCTAGGGAGTCTCGGTTTCCCCATTTGCAAACTGGAACTCATAAGGTGGGCCAGAGAAGTTTCAGTGAAGTGAGGAATGGCTTGTGCCTCTGCCAGGGCCCATGTGCTCCGGGTCACCCTGCAATCACAGGGACAGGGAGGTCAAGGACAGTCACTCCTGAGGCCAGTCTGGGCTGAACTGACCACGTGGACTCTCATGCCCAGATCGAGGCCCCAATTTCCTAGAACCTGGGGCTCCAGCTGTGGCTCAGGGGTGGGCAGAAGGGGAGACAGAAGTGACAGCTTCCCCAGCCCCCAGTTGCACCAGGCCCTGAGGGCCCCTTTGTCACTGAATCTGATAAGAAACCCCACCCCGGCAGCCCCCTCCTCTCACCTGACCAATGGCCACAGGCTGGCTGGGCCCAGCTCCCTGTATATAAGGAGACCCTGGGGGCTGAGCACTACCAAGGCCAGTCCCGAGCAGGCCCAACTCCAGTGCAGCCTCCCACCCTGCCGCCATGTCTCTGACCAAGACTGAGAGGACCCTCATTGTGTCCATGTGGGCCAAGATCTCCACTCAGGCCGACACCATCGGCACCGAGACTCTGGAGAGGTGAGTGTCAGGCAGGACTGCCAGAGGGACTGGGTGGGAGACCAGGTATGTGAGTGGGGACTGTGGGGAGGGGAGAGTGGGGAGGGAACAGTGAGGAGGGGACGGTGGGGAGGGGACAGTGAGGAGGGGATGGGGAGGGGACAGTGGGGAGGGGACAGTGGGGAGGGGACGGCAAGGAGGGGACAGTGGGGACGGGACCTTGGGGAGGGGACAGTGGAGAGGGGACTGTGGGGAGAGGACAGTGAGGAGGGGACAGTGGGGAGGGGACAGTGGGGACAGATAGCCTTCCCTCTCAGTGAGGAGGGCAGGGTAAGGAGGGTACGATTAGGAGTTGCACAGGTATCTGGGCTCACTGAGACCTGAGCAGGCACAGGCCCAGGTTCTGACAAGCAGAGGGTGAAAAATTTTGCTCTAGACCTGAAGGGCCTTACAGGGCAGCCAGGGCACTACAGCCTCTAAAGTCTCAGCATCTGATCCCAGCATCTGGGATCAGGGCACCGTCCCAGTATCAAAGTCCCAGCATCTGATCCCCTGGGAGGGGCCAGGGAGCTTTTCCTTCCCTGGAACGCTGCTGGGAGGTCATGAGCCTGCAGAAGGGGTGGCGGGTAACCCAGTCTGGGGCTGGGAGGGAGGTCCTGTGGCCACAGGAGACGGTGGAGGGGCTGGGGGCACCAGGCGTGCTGCAGGCGGAGGGCGGGGGACTTGGGGATCAGGCGAACAGAACCCGTTGGAAGCAGGGCGATGAGCCGGGAGCTGCAGCGACCTGGGGGGCCTCTAGCACAGGGCAGCCTGGGAGGCAGCCGGGCACCGCGAGGAGGGGCTGGGGCCTGCTGCGGGGTCGCAGATGTGTCCTGGTGCCCGGAGAGGGCCGCAGGGCGCGGGGGCCGTGGGCGGGAGGCCGCGCTGCTGGGAGCTCACGCCCCCGCCCCGCGTCCCAGGCTCTTCCTCAGCTACCCGCAGACCAAGACCTACTTCCCGCACTTCGACCTGCACCCGGGGTCCGCGCAGCTGCACGCGCACGGCTCCAAGGTGGTGGCCGCCGTGGGCGACGCAGCGAAGAACATCGACAACATCGGCGCCGCCCTGTCCAAGCTGAGCGAGCTGCACGCCTACGTCCTGCGCGTGGACCCGGTCAACTTCAAGGTGAGCAGGGCGCGGTGCGGGCGGGGCGGGGCGGGATCTCTGGGCGGGGCGGGATCGCTGGGTGGGGCGGGATCGCTGGGTGGGGCGGGGAGGTGTCGCGAGGAGGGGCGGGGCCCGGGCTAGGCCCCGCCCCCGCACTGAGCCGGCCCCGCCCCCAGCTCCTGTCCCACTGCCTGCTGGTCACCCTGGCCGCGCGCTTCCCCGCCGACTTCACGGCCGAGGCCCACGCCGCCTGGGACAAGTTCCTATCGGTCGTATCCTCTGTCCTGACCGAGAAGTACCGCTGAGCGCCGCCTCCGGGATCCCCAGGACAGGCTGCGGCCCCTCCCCTGCCCTTCACCCTCCCACAATTCCTGCCCTGACTCCAATAAATGGATGAGGACAGAGCGATCTGGGCTCTGTGTTCTCAGTACTGGAGGGAAGAAGGGGAGAAGCTGAGTGATGGGTCCGGGGGCTTTGCAGGAACGCGGTCGTCCCCGCTGACGTCGCGGCCTGGGGGTCACGTGGGGGGCGCTTTGGGGAGGTTCTTGCCCTGAGCACCGGAGCTGCAGCCCGGGTGGAGCAGAGCAGTCCCGGGCCAGCCCACGGCGTCTCCTGGGGCTCTTGGTCAGACGGGCGTTTGTGCGTCTCCCAGCTTCCCATATCGCCCAAAGATTGTCACTTCGCTAAGCGTATCGGGAGCGTGTCGGGACTCAGGGAACTTTTCCACAAAGCCTGAAGTCCGAATCCCGGGATTCTGGCAGCTGCGGGGGTCCCTGAGGCCCGTCCCTCCCCGACTCCTAAGAGAGTAGGGGTTTCCTGCCCCGTGTTCTCTCTCCGGCTCCTCCCATGAGCTCCCTTCTGGCACACCAGTAACTTTGCCCGAGGGAGTAATTACAGACGCCCCTGAAGTCTGGAGTAAAGGTACCCACGCACAACAGCGTGAGTCAGTGCCAGAAACCCTGGGATCCCGGAGGTCGAGGCCTCCATGTAGGCAGGAACCCGGACTGGCTACGTTCCCGGCGCAGGCCGAGAGTCCCCGCGTTCCCGCCGCTCTCGGGCCGATAAGGACAGGCGGGGTGCTCGGAGTCTCTATAAGGAGCCCAGGGCGGCGGGTGCGGCCCCCAGAGCACGTCAGGCGGCGCCATGCTCAGCGCCCAGGAGCGCGCCCAAATCGCGCAGGTCTGGGACCTGATCGCGGGCCACGAGGCGCAATTCGGGGCGGAGCTGCTGCTCAGGTCGGTAGAGGCGGGGTCTCCGGGAGCTCAGGGAGGTGGAGATGAGGGTGTTGGCCGCGTGGGCCGCAACGCCATCCAAGGTCCCTCCGATGAGGATCCCCGGGGCTCTGGGCGGTGTGGGCGCTAGTGAAGTCCCACGCAGCCGCCCTCCTCCCCGGTCACCGACCTGGTCCTGCAGGCTCTTCACAGTATACCCCAGCACCAAGGTCTACTTCCCGCACTTGAGCTCCTGCCACGACGCGACGCAGCTGCTGAGCCACGGGCAGCGCATGCTGGCGGCGGTGGGCGCGGCGGTGCAGCACATGGACCACCTGCGCGCCGCGCTGAGCCCACTGGCGGACCTGCACGCGCTCGTGCTGCGCGTGGACCCAGCCAACTTTCCGGTGAGCCCTTTCCGGCCGGGGCAATGGTGCAGCGCGCAGCCGGGGGAGCTCCGGGGATCCCTAGAGGGACAGACCCCGTCTCACAGGCCGCTTCTCCTGCAGCTGCTAATCCAGTGTTTCCACGTCGTGCTGGCCTCCCACCTGCAGGACGAGTTCACCGTGGAAATGCAAGCGGCGTGGGACAAGTTCCTGACTGGTGTGGCCGTGGTGTTGACGGAAAAGTACCGCTGAGCCTAGTGCTGCGCTGGCCTTTGTTTGTGCCTGTCAATAAACAGAGGCCCCAAATATCTGCCCCCGCCTGTGTGGTCTTTGGGGAGCTGGCAAAGTGAGGTCACTATTGTTGGCCAGAGAAGCTCAGGGACCTGCAAGGATCCTCCTAGAACTCTCAAATGCACCCCACCCCCGGAGGTTTGTCCTCCCATGGCGGGCAGTGTGGTGGGGCAGAGGGAGTACTGTGATGTGGGGGGGGGGGTGGCCTTCGACTTCAACTCTTGAATCCGGCTTCCAACCGCACTGTTCGCAAAGCACTTCCCCATTCATGCATTTATTCACTCATTCTCTCTCCATCCCCACTTCCTGCTGGGACCTGTAGATGCTAATCCTGGACCCTTTGCAGAGAGATGCAGAAACTGAGGTCCCGGAGCCAAATGTGCAACCTAATTAGGGCCCCAGAGCAGAGGGCTCCGCAGACCTCACTGTTCCTTTCCCCTTCCTTCCCCCATGGACACTTCCTGGGCTGCAAACCTGTGCTAGCCTGGTTAGCCCTGCCTGTGACCCTCCAGCCCTGGGGGTGAGGTGGGGAGGAAGTCCTCTGTGGCCACAAATTGGCAGACAGACCTGGTTTAGGCTTCCAGCCTGCTCATTGACAAGCTATGCGACCCTGGGCATGTCCCAGAGCTCTCCGGCCTTTACCCATCGAATGGAAAAACAACATTCAACTCACAAGATTTTTGAAATAATTTTTGAAATCATAACATAGGGTGGGTGCCTGCCGGCTCATTGCCACCCCACCCCTCCACCCAGCCCCAGCTGCCGTGTCTCAGTCTCTGGAGGTGCCCAGGCCAAGGCACTCCCTCCCCCAGGTTCCCTCTTCTCCCTCCCCAGGATGGGGAAAGGAATCTTAAGGCTCCACCCCAGGCTTTTCAGACAAAGAACAGGGTCTGAGGAAAGAGTAGGACCTTCGAGGTCTGCAAATCCTGAATAGGTTTGGCTCTGGGTTGGCCATCCTGGGTCAGTGTGGGGAGCACTAGACCAGGCCTGGCAGCCAGGTCTGACCTGGCGGTCAGCGCCTAGGTCTGAAGAGAGCTGTTGGAAGTGGAGCCCTGACTGTGAGTCAGTCAAGCTCCCTCCAGCAGTCAGTGCCAGGGACCTGTTGCCCTGCACTGCCTGGGACGCCAGCCTGGTAGTTTGAAGAACTCGGCCCCATGTTATCAACATACCCCAACTGTTTTCTTGAGTTTTTTCATTTTGTCTTGTTTTGTTTTTGAGACAGGGCCTTGCCCTGTGGCCCCGGCTGGAGTGCAGCGGCTCACTGCAGCCTCAACCTCCTGGGATCAAGCAATTCTCCCGCCTCTGTCTCCCGAGTAGCTGGGATTATAGGCACGCGCCACCATGCCTGGCTAATTTTTGTATTTTTAACAGGGACACAGTTTCACCACGCTGATCAGGCTAGTCTCAAACTCCTGACCTCAAGTGATCCGCCCGCCTCAGCCTCCCAAAATGCTGGGATGACAGGCGTGAGCCACCACGCTCAGCCCCCCAAATGTTTACATGGATAAGTAACAGCTTTTGGTCCCAGGCAGTTTGGTGTGAAAGCAGCTTATGTTTCACTCTGGAAAAACTGTGCTCTTCTTCCCATCCAGGAAGCTGCCTGGGTCTGGGCCATATGTGGATACCTTACGGGTGTAAGGGGCTCAGGACCCTGTGTAGAAGCCCAGGACAATGCGAGTGGGAAGGTTACCATGTACAGAACTGGGTTTCTGTTTGGGTAGGACTAAGAGACGCAGGGCAGCCTTGGGCAACCTGCCTACTCTCACTCCTCTTCCTATTTTCCCGTGCCAGGCACCTCCTGGCAACTTGCCTGCCAAAGACCCTGCATCCCAGGCATAAGAGCTCCTACTCTCCCCCTCCTTTCACTTTTGAGCTTACACAGACTCAGACAGAACCCACCACGGTGCTGTCTCCTGAGGACAAGGCTAACATCAAGGCGGTCTGGGCGAAGGTTTGCGACCACGCTCCTGACTATGTCACGGAGGCCCTTGAGAGGGAAGGACCCTCCTCTCCCTGCTCACATTTTGGGTCCAACACCCACTCTAGGGCTCCACTGGCCACCCCTAACCATTCTTGCCCCAGCCCCAGCCCCCAGCCCCTCATTCTTTGCTTCCCCCTGAAGCATGTTCCTGACCTTCCTCTCACTTGGTCCTGAGGTATGGCTCAGCCCTCATCAAGAAACAATGCAAGTAGGTGGCCGACACACTGACCAACACCATGGCCCACTGAGATGACATGCCCAATGACTTGTCTGAGCTGAGGCAACTGCACGTCAACGAGCTGTGGGTGGACCCAGGCAACATCAGGGTGAGCTTTGGGCTGGGAGGAATCTAGGGTGTGGGGGCAGCTGGTCTTCCTCATAAGACACAGCATCCCATGCGTTCGGGGAGGTGGAGCACAGGTGACAGTGGTATCTACGTCCCCTGACTCTCTCCACAGTTCCTCGATAAATGCCTGCTGGTGACACTGGTCCATCACACCCTTCCCAGTTTACCCATGTGGTGCCTCCACGGACAAATTATTTGCTTTTGTGAGTGATGTGTTGACCTGCAAATACCACTAAGCTGAAGCGTTGGTGGCCATGCCCCCTGCCCACTGGGCCTCCCTCCAGGCCCTCCTCCCCTCCCCACCCCAGCACTTCCTGATCTTTGAATGAAGTCCCAGTAGGCGGCAGCCTGTGTGTGCCTGGGTTCTCTCTCTCCCTGAGTGTGCCAGCCATGGAGGTGTTTTCCTGTCTCAGACCAAGGACCTCTCCGCAGCTGCATGGGGTGGGGAGGGAGAACTGCAGGGAGCATGGGAGGGGAAGCTGAGGTGGGCCTGCTCACCAGAAGGTGCTGAGCCTGTCCCTGTCCTGAGAGGTGCCAGGCCTGCAGGCAGTGACTTAGGAGCTGCGGAGGAGAGGCCTCCAGGGTTCTTCTCAGGGAGTCCCAGCATTGCCACCCTCCTTTGAAATCTCCCTGGTTGAACTTACACATACACTCTCCATCAAAACAAGACAAAACAAAACAAACTAGCAAAATAGGCTGTTCCCAATGCAAGTGCAGGTGCCTGAACATTTCTCTCATTCCCACCCCTTCCTGCCAGAGGGTAGGTGTCTGGAGAGGGTAGGTGTCTGGAGTGAGGGCGCTGGCCCCACCCACACGGCCTCTGTCATGGGAACCCTCCCACAGCAGCCCAGTCAGTGGGGAAGGAGGAAGGGGCTGCGATGCTCACAGCCGGCAGCCTACACCTGGGGAGACTCTTCAGCAGAGTACCTTGCGGCCTCACTCCTGCACTTCTCCTGCACTTTATAAGGTGCTTTCAGAACTCACTGTGTGCCCAGCTCTGAGCCCCCAGCTAATTGCCCCACCCAGGGCCTCTGGGACTTCCTGGTGCTTCTGCTTCCCGTGCTGCCAGCAACTTCTGGAAACGTCCCTGTCCCCGGTGCTGAAGTCCTGGAATCCATGCTGGGAAGTTGCTCAGCCCATCTGGCTCTCAGCCCTCCTAAGAACATGAGCAGCACTTCCAGCCCAGCTCCTGTCCCAGAGCAAGCGTCCCCCTCCACACTCACAGAACTGGATCAAGCTTTGGGGAGGGCGGAGAGGGCACCGTCATCACTTTTCTTCTGGACATGGACCTCTGAATTGTTGGGGAGTTCCCTCCCCCTCTCCATCCACTCTTCCTCTGCCTCACAGCCCAGAGCATTGTTATTTAAGCATAAACACTTAAAAAAATAAACTAAAATCCATCCCTGCTTTCACACACACACACCCTTTCTTGTGTTACTTAAAGTAGGAGAGAGTCTCTCTTTCCTGTCTCCTCACTCCCAGCCCCAAGAGACCACAGTGAAGGGTTTGGTTGGGACTGAGCCCACAGGCCCCATCCTGTGCTGAGGGAACAGCTACAACTACAACTACTGCCACAGACCCTCTTTTTGGGCAAAAATACCATCATACTGTAGATACCTGTGTACAACTTCCTATTCTCAGTGAACTGTCTCCTCTACACCCCTTTCAGCCAGTTCATTCAGTTCTATGCCATTCCACAGTCTCACTATTTCTATATTTCCATTACGATTCCGCCAAAAATCATCACTATTTATTTATTTGTTTATTTATTTATTTATTTATTTATTTATTTATTTATTTTGAGACGGAGTTTCCCTCTTGTTGCCCAGGCTGGAGTGCAATGGCACAATCTCGGCTCACTGCATCTGCCTCCCGGGTTCAAGCGATTCTCCTGCCTCAGCCTCCTGAGTAACTGGGATTACAGCCATGTGCCACCGATCCCCGCTAATTTTGTATTTTTAGTAGAGACAGGGTTTCTCCATGTTGGTCAGGCTGGTCTGGAACTCCCGACCTCAGGTTTTTCACCTGCCTCAGCCTCCCAAAGTGCTGGGATTGCAGGCGTCAGCCACCGCGCCAGGCCAAACCATCACTTTTCATGAGCAGGGATGCACCCACTGGCACTACTGCACCTCCCACCCTTCCCCCACCAGGTCCACCCTTTCCTCACCCCACATCGCCCCCACCTCAATTCTGCAACCACAGGGGACTTCTTCCCCGTCCTCTCCCCTCCCAGAGCCAAGTTTGTTTATCTGTTTACAACCACTATTTACCTAGCGAGTCTTCCATCAGAGCATTTGGAGAGACTGGGGGTGTCACAGTGAACCACGACCTCCAGGCCAGTGGGAGAGTCAGTCACACAAAATGCACAGGGTCCCACTGTGAGTCCAGCACCCACCACCCCCACGCGCCACCCCACAACCCCGGGTAGAGGAGTCTGAACCTGCATGCAGCCCAGCCCCGTGCTTTTTGCGTCCTGGTATTTGTTCCTTCCTGGTGCCTGTCACTCAAGCACACTAGTGACTATCGCCAGAGGGAAAGGGAGTTGGAGGGAGCGAGACTGGAGAGGAGGACGGACTCTGCGCGGAAATTCTTTTGCGTTCCTATGGGCCAGGGCGTCCGGGTGCGCGCATTCCTCTCCGCCCCGGATTGGGCGAAGCCTCCCGGCTCACACTCGCTCGCCCGCGTGTTCCCTGATCCCGCTGGAGCTGACGCGCGTCCAGCGCGTGCCAGGCCGGGGCGGGGGTGCGGGCTGACTTTCTCCCTCACTAGGGACGCTCGGGCGCCCCAAAGAAAAGGGTGGCGCTGCGCTCCGGGGTGGAAGAGCCGACAGCGCCCGACCCCAACGGGCCGGCCCCCTCGCCCAGCGTCGCGACCGCCCTGCTTCCTGGCGAGCCGGATGGGCGGGAGTGGAGCGGCGGGTGGAGGGTGGAGACGTCCTGGCCCCCGCCCCGTGTGCGCCCCCAGCGGAGGCCAAGCCGCCCTGTCCGGGACTCCCCTGCGGTCCAGGCCGCGCCCCGGGCTCCGCGCCAGCCAATGAGCACCGCCCTGCCGGGCGTGCCCCCGCGCCCGGAGCATAAACCCTGGCGCGCTGGCTGCCCGGCACTCTTCTGGTCCCCACAGACTCAGAAAGAACCCACCATGGTGCTGTCTCCTGCCGACAAGAGCAACGTCAAGGCCGCCTGGGGTAAGGTCGGCGGGCACGCTGGCGAGTATGGTGCGGAGGCCCTGGAGAGGTGAGGCTCCCTCCCCTGCTCCGACCCGGGCTCCTCGCCCGGCTTCACCCACCGGCCACCCGCAACCGTCCTGGCCCCGGACCCAAACCCCACCCCTCACTCTGCTTCTCCCCGCAGGATGTTCCTGTCCTTCCCCACCACCAAGACCTACTTCCCCCACTTCGACCTGAGCCACGGCTCTGCCCAGGTTAAGGGCCACGGCAAGAAGGTGGCCGACGCGCTGACCCTCGCCGTGGGGCACGTGGACGACATGCCCCAAGCGCTGTCCGCGCTGAGCGACCTGCACGCGCACAAGCTTCGGGTGGACCCGGTCAACTTCAAGGTGAGCGGCGGGCCGGGAGCGATCTGGGTCGAGGGGCGAGATGGCGCCTTCCTCGCAGGGCAGAGCATCCCGCGGGTTGCGGGAGGTGCAGCGCAGGCGGCGGCTGCGGGCCCTCGGCCCCACTGACCCTCTTCTCTGCACAGCTCCTGAGCCACTGCCTGCTGGTGACTCTGGCCGCTCACCTCCCCGCCGAGTTCACCCCTGCGGTGCACGCCTCCCTGGACAAGTTCCTGGCTTCTGTGAGCACCGTGCTGACCTCCAAATACCGTTAAGCTGGAGCCTCGGTGGCCATGCTTCTTGCCCCTTGGGCCTCCCGCCAGGCCCTCCTCCCCTCCTTGCACCGGCCCTTCCTGGTCTTTGAATAAAGTCTGAGTGGGCGGCAGCCTGTGTGTGCCTGGGTTCTCTCTCTCCCTGAATGTGCCAGCCATCGGGGTATTTTCCTGTTTCTGACCAAGGAGCTCTCCGCAGCTGCATGGGGTGGGGAGGGAGAACTGCAGGGAGCATGGGAGGGGAAGCTGAGATGGGCCTGCTCACCAGAAGGTGCTGAGCCTGTCCCTGTCCTGAGAGGTGCCAGGCCTGCAGGCAGTGACTCAGGAGCTGCGGAGGAGAGGCCTCCAGGGTTCTTCTCAGGGAGTCCCAGCATTGCCACTCTCCTTTGAAATCTCCCTGGTTGAACTTACACATACACTCTCCATCAAAACAAGACAAAACAAAACAAACTAGCAAAATAGGCTGTTCCCAATGCAAGTGCAGGTGCCTGAACATTTCTCTCATTCCCACCCCTTCCTGCCAGAGGGTAGGTGTCTGGAGAGGGTAGGTGTCTGGAGTGAGGGCGCTGGCCCCACCCACACGGCCTCTGTCATGGGAACCCTCCCACAGCAGCCCAGTCAGTGGGGAAGGAGGAAGGGGCTGCGATGCTCACAGCCGGCAGCCTACACCTGGGGAGACTCTTCAGCAGAGTACCTTGCGGCCTCACTCCTGCACTTCTCCTGCACTTTATAAGGTGCTTTCAGAACTCACTGTGTGCCCAGCTCTGAGCCCCCAGCTAATTGCCCCACCCAGGGCCTCTGGGACTTCCTGGTGCTTCTGCTTCCCGTGCTGCCAGCAACTTCTGGAAACGTCCCTGTCCCCGGTGCTGAAGTCCTGGAATCCATGCTGGGAAGTTGCTCAGCCCATCTGGCTCTCAGCCCTCCTAAGAACATGAGCAGCACTTCCAGCCCAGCTCCTGTCCCAGAGCAAGCGTCCCCCTCCACACTCACAGAACTGGATCAAGCTTTGGGGAGGGCGGAGAGGGCACCGTCATCACTTTTCTTCTGGACATGGACCTCTGAATTGTTGGGGAGTTCCCTCCCCCTCTCCATCCACTCTTCCTCTGCCTCACAGCCCAGAGCATTGTTATTTAAGCATAAACACTTAAAAAAATAAACTAAAATCCATCCCTGCTTTCACACACACACACACACACACACACCCTTTCTTGTGTTACTTAAAGTAGGAGAGAGTCTCTCTTTCCTGTCTCCTCACTCCCAGCCCCAAGAGACCACAGTGAAGGGTTTGGGACTGAGCCCACAGGCCCCATCCTGTGCTGAGAGGGAACAGCTACAACTACAACTACTGCCACAGACCCTCTTTTTGGACAAAAATACCATCATACTGTAGATACCTGTGTACAACTTCCTATTCTGAGTGAACTGTCTCCCCTATATCACTTTCAGCCACTTCATTCAGCTCTGTGCCATTCCACAGTTTCACTAATTATTACTTTTCATTTCGTTTCGGTTTTTGAGATAGAGCCTCGCTCTGTCACCCAGGCTGGAGTGCAGTGGTGCGATCTTGGCTCACTAGAACCTCCACCTCCTGGGTTGAAGTGATTCTCCTGCCTCCGCCTCCTAAGTAGCTGGGACTACAGGCGCAGGCCACCACACCTGGCTAATTATTTTTATTTTTAGTAGAGATGGGATTTCACTATGTTAGCCTCAGGTAATCTGCCTGTCTCGGTCTCCGAAAGTGCTGGGATTACAGGAGTTAGCCACCTCACCTGGCCTCATCGATTATTTCTATTATTTCTGGTTATGATCCTTTGTATTTGTCCTCATAAGTCATTTGTCTTTTCTTATTAAGATGTAGGAGCTTGGCCCGGCGCGGTGGCTCAAGCCTGTAATCCCAGCACTTTGGGAGGCCGAGGCGGGCGGATCACAAGGTCAGGAGATCGAGACCACAGTGAAACCCCGTCTCTACTAAAAATACAAAAAATTAGCCGGGCGCCTGTAGTACTAGCTACTCAGGAGGCTGAGGCAGGAGAATGGCGTGAACCCAGGAGGCGGAGCTTGCAGTGAGCGGAGATCGCGCCACTGCACTCCAGCCTGGGCAACAGCGTGAGACTCCGTCTCAAAAAAAAAAAAAAAAAAAAAAAAAAAAAGATGTAGGAGCTGGCCGAGCGCGTTGGCTCAAGCCTGTAATCCCAGCACTTTGGGAGGCCGAGACGGGCGGATCACGAGGTCAGGAGATCGAGACCATCCTGGCTAACACGGTGAAATCCGGTCTCTACTAAAAAAAATACAAAAAACTAGCCGGGCGAGTTGGCGGACGCCTGTAGTCCCAGCTACTCGGGAGGCTGAGGCAGGAGAATGGCGTAAACCCGGGAGGCGGAGATTGAAGTGAGCCGAGATCGCGCCACAGTACTCCAGCCTGGGCGACAGAGCAAGACTCCATCTCAAAAAAAAAAAAAAAAAAAAAAAGAGGGTTCAGGCAGCGGAGACATTGCAGTAAGATGCAGGAAGAAGGGGTTGTCCCAGGCCTGAGGTAAGGGGTCTTTGGTGACTTTAAGTTCCCACATCTCAAAAAAAACAAAACAAAACAAAAAGGAGGGTGTGGTGGCTCATGCCTGTAATCCCAGCACTTTGGGAGGCTGAGATGGGCGGATCACTTGAGGTCGGGAGTTCGAGACCAGCCTGACCAACATGTAGAAACCCCGTCTCTACTAAAAATACAAAATTAGCCTGGCGTGATGGCCCAAGCCTGTAATCCCAGCTACTCAGGAGGCTGAGGCAGGATAATCACTTGAACCCAGGAGGCGGAGGTTGCAGTGAGCTGAGATCACACCACTGCACTCCAGGCTGGACAACAAGAGCGAAACTCCATCTCAAAAAAAAAAAAGCCCCCACATCTTATCATTTTTTTTCTTTCCTTCAGGCTGTGGGCAGAGTCAGAAGAGGGTGGCAGACAGGGAGGGGAAGTGAGAAGATCCAATGGGCCAACCATTGCTAAGCTGGTGGGAGCTACTTCCTTCTCTGCTCAAGGCTCCTGGACATCCAGAGCGGGACCTGAGTAAGGGTCTTGGGGGGACGGGGCAGGGGGCAGGCTGAAGGGTGCCCAGCTGACACACTCTCCAAAGCGAGGTCTTCTGCCAGACCCCCAGGAAATGACTTATCAGTGATTCCTCAGGCTGTTTTCTCCTCAGTACCATTCCCTCTAAAAAATCACTTTTCATGAGCAAGGATGCACTCACTGGCACTCCTGCACCTCTCACCCTTCCCCAGAAGTCCACTCCTTCCTTCCTCACCCTGCAGGAGCTGGCCGGCCTCATCACCCCCCTATCTCCCCACCTCCATTCTCCAACCACAGGGGCCTTGTCTCCTCTGTCCTTTCTCCTCCCTGAGCCAAGCCTCCTCCCTCCTCTACCTCCTCCACCTAATACATATCCTTAAGTCTCACCTCCTCCAGGAAGCCCCCATACTAATCCTGGTCCCCTTGAATGCCTGGTCCACACCTCCAGAGTTCCTCAGGGCCTGTGATGAGGTTTGCACCTCTGTGTGTACTTGTGTGATGGTTAGAGGACTGCCTACCTCCCAGAGGACGCTGAATGCTCCAGGCGGTTCTGGCTGTTGTTTTATTTACTTGTTTCACAACTATTTACCTAGCAAGTCTTCCATCAGATAGCATTTGGAGAGATGGGGGTGTCACAGTGAACCACGACCTCTAGGCCAGTGGGAAAGTCAGTCACACAAACTGCACAGGGTCCCACTGTGAGTCCATGACCTGGGGCTTAGCCAGCACCCACCACCCTCACGCGTCACCCCACAACCCCCTAGAGGAGTCTGAACCTGCACGGAGCCCAGCCCCGTGCTTTTTGCGTCCTGGTATTTGTTCCTTCCTGGTGCCTGTCACTCAAGCACACTAGTGACTATCGCCAGAGGGAAAGGGAGTTGGAGGAAGCGAGACTGGAGAGGAGGACGGACTCTGCGCGGAAATTCTTTTGCGTTCCTATGGGCCAGGGCGTCCGGGTGCGCGCATTCCTCTCCGCCCCGGATTGGGCGAAGCCTCCCGGCTCACACTCGCTCGCCCGCGTGTTCCCTGATCCCGCTGGAGCTGACGCGCGTCCAGCGCGTGCCAGGCCGGGGCGGGGGTGCGGGCTGACTTTCTCCCTCACTAGGGACGCTCGGGCGCCCCAAAGAAAAGGGTGGCGCTGCGCTCCGGGGTGGAAGAGCCGACAGCGCCCGACCCCAACGGGCCGGCCCCCTCGCCCAGCGTCGCGACCGCCCTGCTTCCTGGCGAGCCGGATGGGCGGGAGTGGAGCGGCGGGTGGAGGGTGGAGACGTCCTGGCCCCCGCCCCGTGTGCGCCCCCAGCGGAGGCCAAGCCGCCCTGTCCGGGACTCCCCTGCGGTCCAGGCCGCGCCCCGGGCTCCGCGCCAGCCAATGAGCACCGCCCTGCCGGGCGTGCCCCCGCGCCCGGAGCATAAACCCTGGCGCGCTGGCTGCCCGGCACTCTTCTGGTCCCCACAGACTCAGAAAGAACCCACCATGGTGCTGTCTCCTGCCGACAAGAGCAACGTCAAGGCCGCCTGGGGTAAGGTCGGCGGGCACGCTGGCGAGTATGGTGCGGAGGCCCTGGAGAGGTGAGGCTCCCTCCCCTGCTCCGACCCGGGCTCCTCGCCCGGCTTCACCCACCGGCCACCCGCAACCGTCCTGGCCCCGGACCCAAACCCCACCCCTCACTCTGCTTCTCCCCGCAGGATGTTCCTGTCCTTCCCCACCACCAAGACCTACTTCCCCACTTCGACCTGAGCCACGGCTCTGCCCAGGTTAAGGGCCACGGCAAGAAGGTGGCCGACGCGCTGACCCTCGCCGTGGGGCACGTGGACGACATGCCCCAAGCGCTGTCCGCGCTGAGCGACCTGCACGCGCACAAGCTTCGGGTGGACCCGGTCAACTTCAAGGTGAGCGGCGGGCCGGGAGCGATCTGGGTCGAGGGGCGAGATGGCGCCTTCCTCG